GAAGATCCAGGGAGGTGAAGTGAATTTTTATTTTTGCACAGTTGGGTAGTTACAACGGATCAAATGAAAAAATAGATGCGAAAGTTTGTCACATTGAATAGAACTTCAATGTGAAGTATCATTGTAAAAAGGGTTAGAGGAAGAAATCACAGTTATAGAGACAGATGGAGGAGAAAAAGAGAGAATGAAGCATGTGTTTATGAAAGGGTATTAACAAGCACCACTAATGGCCTTAAAAAAAATAGCCACTGTTCTTTGCAATATCTGTCCCTGGATCAGGTTTTCTTGTTTATCTCTCTCTCCCTTCCTCCCTTCCTTCCTTACAATTGCATAATTATGCTTTTAATGCTTAAAGAGAAAAATATAATTGTCAAGGATTATTTGGCTTTCTGACCCTAGTATTTACATTTACAGATGATATTAATGTATATTAACAACTTGTTTTGTTGTTAAGGGGGATAACCTGATGGCTTTGGCAGAGGCAACAATTACTCTTGCAGAAATATTAGAATTGAAAGCAGACCCCACAGGTCCAGTGGAAGGAACAGTTATAGAATCTTTCACAGACAAAGGAAGAGGGTAGGTCTAGTAAAATGCTTGCTTTTTAATAATTTTGTTCTATTGTTTTTGTGAATTGATCATATAATGTTATTTTTCTTGCATGTTATGGTTAGTCCATGAATAATATTTTCAAAGCATTTTTTGAAAAGCATTTTATTGCACTAGCACAGAGAACATAAAATATAGTTATTAGTAGACCATAATATCTATCTGTATACACCAAGTAGTCACATTTACATGACTTAAGTATTCGATTTGTTTGATTTTTTTTTTTCCACACTGACATAATAGAGCTGGTAAAACCTGATTAGACTAACATAAATTGGAATGAAATAGCAGTTGTTGCATTTTAAGGATTCTAAATTCTTTATGTCCTTGCCCATTAATATAACATATAAGAAGGTCTTTGGAATGGTGTTGCCGTCTTTAATTTTCCTCCCTATCAGCAAAAGAAGTCTTCTCACTGCTTAGCAAAATAAAGAAAGGGGAGTAGGATTCTGTCAGAACACTCAGCTATCTGCACCCTCCACTACCATCTATAATAATAAAAGCGTAATATGCTAATTAGACTGGATGGCTGAACAGTGGAACGACCATTCAGATGACCGGAACGACCTTCCAGACGAAGCCGGGCTGTGAGGGCCGAGCCCCTTGCACAAACTTTGTGCATCGGGCCTCTAGTAACTTTATAAGAAATGTGTTGTTTTTTTGTGGTAAAGATACGTAACTATCAAATTTACCATCTTAACCATTTTTAAGAGTACAGTTCAGTAGTATTAAGTATATTTACATTGTTGTGCAATAGAATCTCGAATTTTTTCATCTTGCAAAATGGCAACTCTATACCCATGAAACACTAATTTTCTCTCTCACTCCCCCTGTCCTTGGCAGCTACCTTTCCATTTTCTGTTTCTATGACTTTGACTACTTTAGATACTTCATGAGTAGAATCATATGGTATTTGTTCTTTTTTTTTTTTTTTTTCTTTTTTTGGCGACCCAGATGGGACTCGAAGGTATTTGTTCTTTTTGACTGGCTTATTTCACTTAGCATAAATGACTTTGAGATTCATCCATGTTGTAGCATGTGACAGTATTTTTTGTGTGTGTTTTTTTAAGATTGCATAATATTTCATTTTATGTATGTGTATGCTGCAGTTTCTTTTTCCTTCCTTATCATTCTAACATTTGGGTTGCTTCAACCTTTTAAACAGTTGTGAAGAAATGTTTTTGTAGTATGAAAAACTGCTTGAGAAATTGAAAAGTGGTAAATACATAATATTATGTATTTTTAAGTCTCAAAAAGATATTCTTGCTCACTCTGGCCACTGAGGCTTAGTTGGTTGAGCGTCATCCCATGCACCAAAAGGTCACCGATTTGATTCCTGATCAGGGCACATGCCCAGGTTACTGGCTCCGTCCCCAGTAGGGGGCATGTGGGAGGCAGCCAATCAATCTTTGTCTCTCTCCTTTCCTCTCTCTAAAGTTAATAAAAACATATATATATTTTGTTAATCCTCACCAGAGGATATTTTTTTCATTGATTTTGTAGAGAGAATGGAAGGGAGAGGGAGAGACAGAAAGAGAGAAACATCTATGCGAGAGAGACACATGGACTGGTTGCCTCCCACATGCACCATGACCGGGGTGGGGATTAAGCCTGCAACCAAGGTACGTGCCCTTGACCAGAATCGAACCCACGACCCTCAGGCCAATGCTCTAACCTCTGAGAAAACCAGCTAGGACAAAAACATTTTTCTTTAAATGAAAAAATAATCTTTGCTTTACTAAGAAAATACTATTACATCCTGATTATGGCATTAAGAATTAATAACTTTATTTTCATTTTAGTCCTGTTACTACAGCAATAATTCAAAGAGGAACATTGAGAAAAGGCTCAATTCTGGTTGCTGGGAAGAGTTGGGCAAAAGTGCGCTTAATGTTTGATGAAAATGGAAAATCAGTTAATGAGGCCTACCCTAGCATGCCAGTGGGGATTATAGGCTGGAAAGACCTCCCTTCTGCAGGAGATGAAATTCTTGAAGTAGAATCTGAGGTATATCAAGCTTAATTCCTATATATTAGCTCGGATATAATGATTTTAAATAATCTATAATGTTATACCAAATTAATGTTAACTTATTATTAATTATTCTAGACTATGAGGGGGCCAGTGGTGCCTTTTTAGAATTTGGCTGTAGAATTTTTTAAAATTTGAGATAGGGTTTTTAAATTAAATAATTTCATTTATATACAAAGCCTTCAAATGAAAGTTTTATAAGTTTCTTGAAACTTACAAAATTAGTACTTTCATATGAGTTAAACTAATTTCATAGTGGAAGAAAAACAAAGCTTTTAGTTAAATAATGCCTGCTTTTTCCCTGTAAAGGCAAGGGCACATGAAGTTGTTGACTGGAGGAAGTATGAGCAGGAGCAGGAGAAAAATAAAGAGGCTCTAAAAACAATAGAAGAAAAGCGAAAGGAACACCAAGAGGCGCACCGGAAGGACCGTGAGAAGTATGGCAATTTGCACTGGAAGGAGAGATCATTTATAAAGTACCAAGAAAGAAAAGAACAAAAATTATTAAGGCCAAAAGAGAAAGTAGAAAGAGATTCAAATATGCTTCCTATAATTATTAAAGGTAACTTTTTAAAGATTTTACTTAACTTGTTTTTGGAATATATGTATTTCTTCATTCTCACAGTTAATTTGAGCAATTAAATTTAAGCCAAAAGTATCTCAGTGTTTTTGGGGGGAAACTTTTATTTTTATTAAGGTAGAATTGACATGTTATATTAGTTTCAAGTGTACAACATAATGATTCGATATTTGTATTTACTGTGTAATGTTCACAGTAAGTCTAGTTAACATTGATCACCATACATATTTACAATGTTTTTTTCTTGTGGTGAGAACTTTTTAAAAAAATATATGTTTTTATTGATTTTATACAGAGAGGAAGAGAAACATCAATGTGAGAGAGAAACATCGATCGGTTGCCTCCCATATGCACACTGACTGGGAATTGAACCCACAGCTGGGGTATGTCCCCTGACCAGGAATTCAACTGGCGACCTCCTTTTGGTGCATGGGACAACACTCAGTCAACTGAGCCAAACCAGCCAGGTCATGATGGAACTTTTAAGATCTACTCTCCTAGCAACTTTCAAATATGCAGTACAGTATTATTATAGTCACCACCTGTACATTACATCCCATGACATTTTTTTATGGGATGTAATGTAAGTTTGTACCTTCTGACCTCTTTCGCCCTTTCACCTCCTCCCTCTTGTGGAGATTTTCTTAGTAAACATTTTTCTAGCTGATTTTGTTGTAAATGTACATTTAGTTATATTTTATTAAATTAAGTAGATATTTATAATGCTAAACCTAAATTAAAGTGTATTTAGTGGTAACTACTATTCCTATTATGGTCTTAAATAGATTATCATCATTTAAATGCCTAACTCTTAACACCAGTAATTTTAAACTTGCTTCATTTAGGTGATGTTGATGGTTCTGTTGAGACCATTTTGAACATTATGGATACCTACGATGCTTCACATGAGTGTGAACTTGAATTAGTACATTTTGGTGTGGGTGATATTAGTGAAAATGATGTTAACCTTGCTGAAGCATTTCATGGTAAGGATTCCATTCCTGTTTAACTGTGTTCCCTAAAACTCACTGAACCATTTGCTTCTGTCTTTTGTTGCTTGGCTCGTCGCACCTGACATTTGCCCATCAGCATCACTATTCCTGTTGCGGTGGAGTCCCTGCTATCAATTGGGGTGGATGGATTGATTGTGCAATATTTTAGCCACAGCTCCACTTGTCATTTTTGTTTTTGTTTTTTTGTTTTTCTTGGAACGTACCATTTCTGTCCCCTCTTCCCACTCCTCCTGGTTCCCCACCCAATTTAGACTAATGAGTATTCCTAACACTGTAATCAGCCTATTCAAGGTCTTTCCTTGTTCACTGATAATTTTACAATCTTCGATAAAAAGCTCCTTTTAGTTTTAAATGCCTAGAAGGAAAGGGGACTATTTATTAGTCGAACTTATGATACACAAAAAGGGAACTCATGACTGCCTCTAACTAAGTCTATCACTTAGCAAAGCACCAACACTGTTGAGTGATTAATGAAATCATTAGGAAGGAGCTACTTCATGACCTGACTTAATTAGAATTAGATGTTAACTACTACTGAAAAGGTATTTTCAGTAATGCTGGTTAACTCAAAGTATTTTATGGACATTGACTGGTCTAGCACAGCGATTTCAACCAGTGTGCTGCAAGAATTTTAATTTATATATATATGAGAGGCCTGGTGCACGAAATATGTGCACTCAGGGTCCCTCAGTCTGGCCTGCGCCCTCTTGCAGTCCGGGAACCCTCAGGGGATGTCCGACTGACGGCTCAGGGGAGTGGGCCTAAGCCAGTAGTCGGACATCCTTAGCGCTGCTGTGGAGGCTCCTGCCACCGCCACTGCGCTTGCCAGCCGTGAGCCTGGCTCAGGGCTTCTGGCTGAGCGGCGCTCCCCCTGTGCGAGTGCGCTGACCAGGGGCAGCTCCTGCGTTGAGCATCTGCACCCTGGTGGTCAGTGCGAGTATTAGCCTTTTATTATATAGGATTTTTAAATATATTTTTTATTTCAGAGAGGGAGAGAGAGATGGAAACATCAATGATGATGTTTCACTGCACATCCTGATCCTGCAACTCAAGCATGTGCCCTGACTAGGAATTGAACCATGACCTTCTGGTTCATAGGTCGATGCTCAACTACTAAGACACACCAGCCAGACAAGAATTTTTAAAACATGTAATACCTGACTATTTAGTCAGGGGTACTGACCTCTTTCCCTTAGGTTGTCAAATGAAAAAATGACAACAGTCAACACAATAGCTGTCCAGTGTGAATGAATCAAAATTATACTTTTTTTTGTTAAATCGGCAAAAAATACAGTTTTTGGTGTGCCGCAGTTTTTAGTAATTAGATGCTGGGGTCCAATCCCAGCGGGTCCAGGGGTCCCCAAAGGTGTGGACGGAGTCGGCGAAGAAGGAATGACACGAAGACAGCCTTCAGTTGATCAGCAGCCTAGTCAGGACCTCTAGCCAGGATCTCCAGCCAAAGTTCTGGTCGGAGTTCTGGTTAGGAACTGATCAGGATCTGAAGTTTATTGTCTTGTTACATCCATATTTATACCAGCCGATTTTAATCCTGTCAATTTCTATTACAAAGGTTAGGGCGTTTCTTATCTCCATTCCAGGGAGTAAAGATTATGTAGCTTAACTACCCGCCTGGCACATAATTAAGGGGTTGTATCCCCTCCCTAACCTCAGGGAAAGATCCCCACCTGGGGAAACAACCTTTCTCGGAGAGGTGACCTTGGTTAAAACACATGGCGCTAAAGAGAGCAAACATATTAAGAACAATATGCTATATATGCCAGGTCCCTTGAAACATATGCTGTGCAGATGTTTCTTTCCTGCAGCGACTGTGTCAAGCAGCAAGGATGGACCGGCTCCCGGCAAATTCCCCCTTTTTTATTTTTTAAATGATAGCGCATGCAAATCAGTGGCCACCTCTCAGATTGGGCTGTTTAAGACTTGGAAGAAGACTGGCAAGCAATGACAATAAGCATAGCTATAAACATAGTGGATGAAGCGCACAAGGAGCCCCGTTCCTTAGGAGGTTGCCGGCCTCTTCAGTCAAGAGATTTCAGCTGTCCTCAAGTTGTTGGTTTGATTGTCTTTGTTGGTCTGGCTAGCGGGCGGCGTCACTGGCGACGGGCTTCCCGACGTGTCAGCGAGTTGAAGGGCTGCATCAAAGGGTCCATCAGGGCCGTGCTTGATGGTGGCGTTGGCGTCCAAGGAGGAGCAAGCTGTGTTCTCTGGGTCAGCTGTTATGGAGGATGGAGGGTAGTAGAGAGAAAAAGAAAAGAAAGCAAAAGAACTACAAGGCATGGAAGCGTTCAGAAAAAAGAGGAAGAAGAAAGGGAAGAAGGCAGCATCCTGCTCCAGCCCTTTCTTTCAGCTGCCCCTTTCCCTGTGGTCCAAGGTAGAAATGGGAAACAAGTCCTGTAGCAGTGAAAGGGAAGCTGCTGTCAGCCAGGTCTCTTATCTAGGTACTGATCTCAGCTGGACCAAGTCTCTTTCTGTTCCCGATCTGAGCTGGGCCAAGTCTCTATTCGTTATCTGGGTCCCTATCTGGGCTGGACATGGGAAGAGAGAAGCAGCCATTGGGGAAGGAGACCTTCCTCAGAAGGGGCGAGTGTTCAAGCCCCTGCACCATTGGGGGGGGGTGAGGATCTGTGCCCCACCTCTGTTGAACCCCAAGTTCTCTCCTACTGGCCCCTCTGTGACTGTGCCTGTCTTAGGTTGTTCCTCCCTGAGGAATCTTACCCGTCTTTGACTAACCAGCCAAGCTCCGGGGCCAAGCAGGGTAATGTGAGGTTCAGTTCTGTCTCCTTGGTAGTCTATGTCCTCTGGCCTCCATGCCCAGCAACTGCCTTTGGATCCCCCCTCCTGCTGGCGGGGTCCCGGCATTGATCACATATCT